CTAAATATCAAAGTTCAGACTAGTGGATTTCATGAGTCGGTAGGATGAAATTTGGTTAGGTAACTAACTATTACGTTGACTCAGATATATTTACTCATTCCAATTTTACTTATATTTCTGCAATCAAATAAGATCATAATTTAAAAAAAAAACATATACTTTTTATGTTCATAATTGTTTGAACATGGCATTAATAATTTTGTTCAATCTTTATTCAATTTACCAAATAAGTCCTTATTAGTCTCGTTAAATTATTAATTTAAGCTCTGGCTTATATGTAAAAAAACTTGACTTGGTCACATATTCATCTGTAGTCTACATATTACGTACTTGTTAGTTCTTCGAGCTTTTTGCGAGAAGTTGATATTGTCATGTGTTCAATTTCTTCTTTACGTAGTTAAATATTTTATTCACCAAACTAGACTGATTATATCTTTCAAACTAAAAACATAGTATTACTAGTTAATGATATATACCTGAGTACTGTGTTGATCAAAATATATTTTCATACAGTATGATCATTCTAGTATTTCTCTTTATCGTCTATATTTAACTAAATACTTTAAAAACGAACGGTGTTTGCTCATCGGTATAATGAAAAATCCAACTTCTCATTGATTCATATATATTGTGGTCCAACTTTACTGCCACTGTCTTGTTAGGGCTAGCTAATTTTGTTTACTACACTGTATCACAAATCATGTGTGTCAGTTTGAAAATATGGGCTCGTAAATTAAAAGTAGTGAGATATGATTGCTGGATTACGCAACAGGAATTTCATTATGATAAAATTCATTGTTAATTGATATTTATTTCGTGGTTTCACACTAGACCATGATTCCAACCTTAGTCTGTAAATATCGTTTTTCATTTTGTTCATAACGTTAAATGAAAAAGAAGTTGCTTGTCTAAACAGTGGATTCCTTGTATTTCAACAACAGAACTCAGTTAAAGAAAGTTGAACAACCTTGGAGAACAAGTGAACACTAAGCAGATGTTCCATTTTAGTTTGGTAGTCGTCAACAGTGCTCTCACGAAATTCCTAGGGATCGAACCCAGCAGCTCGAGGTCCATCAGCAGGCTGCCTCCAGACTTCTAATGGGCTGCCACCCAATGAATTACATTTCTCGCTTTAATTATCTTATATTGCTGTGCGAAGATCATGTGTTCACCTACCGATCAGAGTAGGTAGACTGTATTTATTAGTTAATTTATGTATATAAACGTTCGTTATATCTTGAAGATTATTAACTACTTAACTGATGGAAACTGGATTTTTGAAAGAAATTTCTCAATCATAACTCTTCTGACTTACGTCTAGAGAAAAGTTTTTTTTGAGGAAGTATTAGTATATCTATCATATTATAATGAAACTATTAATCGGTTATCGCCAGCAAATTATTTCGATGCATAAAATCCTAATTGTATCCAAATTTGACTATTAAAGTAAATTTGTGTTCATGACATTGGTACTTATGTAACAACTGTTAGTTGAAAAATTCTGTTTATGTCGTAAATTACGACGATAATTGCGTAGAGTAGTTCTTATAGTTTAATGATATTATGAAATTAAGCAAACTCAATGTAAAGTTTTTGTACATATTTATGTGAGCGAACATAGTCTTTTTAGAACTATATTTGTATATTCCCATGAAACATTAAATTTAGCGACCTTAATTATTAAAAAAATAACAGAATGTGCATAAACGCCGTGAACAAAAACACTTCAAAGGCAATCAATTTAGTAAGATATACTTGAAGATTTATTAAGCCTGATCGGGGGGCTAAAAGGAATGGTTTCGTTTCTACTTTACTCTCTGGATATTCAGTCATTATTCTGTGGGCAATAATAATAATTGTTCTATTTTTGGATATTTTTGCAGTTTTGAAAATAAAACAAATGAATCCCGGATACACTTATTGCATCGTCAGTACTTTCTTCCTTAATCTTTGTAAAATTGTAATCAATAATAAGGAATTTTGTGAATTTCTTATGTTTCCATCGAGAGATAAATAAGATGAAATAACATGAGTTGAAGTGATGGATCGTACACTCTTACTGACGATCACATTATGCAGTGTACTACAATGGTTTGGTTAGGTAACGTAGGTTGGCACTTAGTCAAAAACATTCGAATGCCAAAATTAATTGTTAATAATATCGTGTTGTGTTCACTCTAAGAAAACTTTGCGCATTCATAAAAAACTAGGAAACACATAAACACCTTAATTAGACATACTTCCTTATGTTTTAGTGAAGTGTTCCTTGTTAATAAGCGGAATTTAGGATCTCTTGCGTTCACCGTTATTATGCTCAACTATATTTTGAGTCTTTTTAATGGAAACCAATTCCCACTATTTCAACTGTTCAAATTATTTAAGTGAATAATAATATTGAAATATCTTCAGCTCTTATAATCTAAGTATAGATTTAATGGCACTCTTCTGAGCAGTTCAATCTACTTTAAACCCAAATTCGTGCGAATATATTGTTATAATTAGTTATTTGAAAAATATTCTCATTGTAAGCGATTTGAATTAATAAGTAATACATTTTTCTCTTTATTTAGGCGTAAGAGGTTTTCATCCAATCAGGTTTTATTTGCTTTGATTAGGTTCACTTTTATTAGTACATAGATATTATCTTTCATCCAAAATTATTCGTGTGGTCGATTTCTTTATTCATATCAAGAATAATTAATTATCACAGTGACAAGCCCATATTTGAAGAAAATCACAAGAAAAACTAACGTCTATTTAAAGCCATATAATAAGAATAAATAGATTATGTGAACAAAACAGAAAACAAATATTTCTGTAATTTTTTTCACTTATTGTATTGGACTGTTCCGACTGAAAATTATGTCGAATTGTTTCACTCCTTTTTGTGATTGAAACTGCCTTACACAAATAAGATTATTTCGATAAACAGAAAGGGATAAACAATTTCAGACTACCATCTGTCATAGATGCCTATTGATTTTGCCGGACTTCATAGTATACCGATATTAATTTAACTAAAAGGGGAAGTAAGGAGTCATTTTGATACGAATGGTACAAGAACAAACAAAAATAAAGAATAAACACATCTCCACAATTTCAGGTGATCTTGAACCGATGTTCATGGTTTTCAAACACTGATTATATCTATCCTATAAACCATATGATGTCTGAACTTATATAATCTCTTCATGGATTGATGTTATGTTTTGGTCTGTTATTTCTTTCAACTCTTACAACTGGCGGTAGATTACGCTTAGGAAACAGAATGGCTAAACGAGTGTAACAAACGTACCCATTACCATAGTTGATGTAGGTTCACAATAGATTTCCCAATCGTACAGGAAATGTACCTGCTGATTAGGTGGTTACGAGATGCATACTATTGAAATCTCCCAACCTACGCATGTATTCTGTCTTCGAGGGTTATATCGTCTCTCGTAAAGAAAGATACAGAATATTTCCTGAACTTTTGTAGACAGGTAAACAGCTGGGATGCTTTACCGGTGGCATAAATCATCTCAAAATCGACAAGTTGTATATACTCTCGTTGCTTTTTTTACTAAACATTCACCTCTCATGTCTTATCAGATTTCCAAAATATATAAAGCGTTTGACAACCAGCTACCTTCAATCACTGTGATTAGGGATCGGCGCAGACATATTCTGAAGAGAATTTTTGTAAACTCAACAAATGTTTGATGGTTATCTGTGTAGGATTATTCTCATTTGCTTACTGAAGTGTTATACTAAGTTTGAACGGGTTAGAATAAATCTACGATACATGAAGTTATCATTTTTGTGTTAACTTTTAACCTAATTAGAGGAAAAATCTTAATCCTCTTTTTCTTTATGTTGAGACTCAAGAGATCCTCAAGACCACTTCTCTGGTCTACACTGGATAGTAATCTTTTATCCTCCAGAAATGGCCAGTGACCTATTTCGTCTGTCGTTAAGTTAATATGGGGATCGTGACATAAAACAATGTCTTTCTCCCAGTAATTATACTTCCGTTGTTTCGTCCTCTTATCTGATCAGCCATAGGGTTCGAAGATTGAGAGTTTTAAAATTGATTTTAGAGAACTGCGACTGCGTTTTATTAGTTTGAATTGTTTACAACCAGTTTTTGTCACTGCTTGATCTTCATTATTAAGTTATATAAGAGGATACAATCAGAAAATACTCTAAATTTAGTTTTATGTGATAAACTATGTTCCTTTGTGTGAAATGGCAGCAGGCCTCAGGAAAATGGTTGTAAATGGACAACACGTCAGAAATGAATTTTTGTTTAAACCTATAGCAAACTTATCAAGATGGATGTAAAATGTTTAATTGTGTATAGTATTTCGTTTTATGAGAGATATTCGTGTAATCGTTATTTGAAGAAAAACAGGGAATATATGTTACTGGTAACGGTGTATGTTACAGAGATGGTACAATGGAATTTTATTTGCTCCAAATATGGAACATTTTTCCATACGAAATTACATTGTTTGCTCATAAACATAACACTTCAGAATAATTTGCTGTACTTTTTTTTAACATGAATATAAGCGATTCATGATATTTTTTGGTTGTGGTTAGATGTGGAATTCAAAATGCGTCTGTCCTTATTTGGATGCATCCTGCCACACTGACAGTAAAATTAAGTCGTTTGTAGCAGTAGTACGAAAGGACATAATCAGAATTTAACTCTTCGTCCTTAATAAAAACCGGAATGATCCTACTGAAAAGAAAATTGGTTAGTAAGTCTAGCTAATTTGGTTTACAAAGGAACAGGAATTTTTGTGTAATGTATGCATAACCTTAGAATTTTTAATTTTTATAGACTGCCTGGTTTGAAGCTTCATTTTTATGGTAATCATAGAAATGTTGGGAACTGCTATCATTCAAAATGTTCTTTCAGTTGTAAATTTTATTGCTGCCTTTGATAAACTAGCCATACATTAAAATAAAGTCTCTTTGGATTCTACGTTTTATTCTTGTTTCTGTAACCACAGTTTGACCTGCGGTCATCTTCCTGTTGGCAGCAGTTGGCTCTATTTGGGTACTGATAAGGGCAACGTGAATTTCATAAGTGTTCAACGGTTTACTACATCGGGCTATGTGATTAATTGGAACAAGGCCATCGATCTGTAAGTAAAACAAATGCCAGAATAATTTTAATTCATACATGTTTGTTGTTCGGATCTTCCCACTGATGATTAAGACTGGAATTAATTAGTCTCTTTCTTGGTATATGTTCATCCTGTGCAGATTTCCTCGATAGTGTCAGTAATTTATATGCATTCTAAACAGAGATGGATGGTTGCTAGCAGTGGACTCAAGGATTTGCGTTTCGCCCTATTTGCGACTCGTCACCCCATTGCACAAGCCCGTGGCCACATGGATCCAGTAGCTAAGGGAGTGGATATCAACTCTGCGATGCAGCTACATCCAGCTGATGAATCACACATAAGTTGAAAAGGATTCCACGGCTAGCCACCATCCATCTCTGCTTAATTACCAGAAAAGATAATTTTAACCATATTGTGTACGTTATCGTCAACATATTAATAACGTTTACAAGAATTCCCTGTAGTTTACCTAACTTCTAACTTTTCGAAAATGGTACCTCTAAGAGAATTGATTATGATTAACACTTGAGTAGTTCACTGGATTAATCAATGAAACAATATTGTTGACCATCATATCGTATACAGCAATTTTATTTATGGCTTTAAGTTCAGTTTGTGCGATAAGTAATTTGTGCGCAATTTGTTTCAACCGGTCGTTAATAAATATATTCGGTCATACATCAGTTAAATAAGTTGTTTGATGATGTTGATATATCAGTAGTCGTTAAAACTGTTTTATAGTTTTATCTTGTTTTAAGTTTTTTATAAGTGTGCTACTAAATCGTGCATAACTTGACATTCTTCCCATGTCAGTCAATTCTTTATAAGTGTATAGAATTTAATTTTATCATTTCATTTCTTTCAGATCTCAGTCGTCGCATCCGGGGAAAGTTATTCAGATAGCTGAGAATCCTCAAGATACTAACAAGATTCTTATTGGTTATTCTTCGGGATTTCTTGTATTATGGGATCTAAAAACCAAACAGGGTGATGCTCGTTTCAAACATACAGATGTAAGTCTGTTTTATTGTTTTATTTTCCGTTCCTAACATGATGTAATGTACATGTTTTTTTTTTTCTCACGAGAAACGTAGGGCTGCCCTAAAATAACTCGAAATTGTGGTTGATTGATGGACTGTGACACCTGACCATAGTTGCTACCTTGACCGCAAGGATTAACATTACTTAAGCGAATAACAGTCCTAGACAAACAGGAATATAAAAAGTTGTATAAATTGTAGTCACGCTACTAAAATAGACATCGTTTTCAGTTTCTTCGTTAACACCAATGTACTGTTTGAAGTACTTAGAAAAACGAGTAGCTCTGGAACCAGAGAAATTATCGCTACACATACTCGATCAGATGAGTTTTCGGGAAACGAGGTTCTTGATACGACACTCAAAAGTTAGCGGATTTATTAACCTAGACGTTCGATTATCATCTAGTGTACTGGGAAATAAAATGCTACGTGTTAATATAATTAAAGACGGAATCTTGATCAACTTTCAGACCAGTCTACTTAAAGGATAGGCAAAACTATTCAACGAATAGTTCAAGTAGCATCCATTTACTTCAGTTATCCCCGACTGTAGCTGCTACTTTAACGTGGTGATCGCACTCACCTATCATAAAGCCCCCGTGGAGCTTTATTGGATAGAACAGTTGTTTCCTTAGGTCCTACCATGCCTGGCAGGCCGGTTAGGGAACAGTCAAACTGAGAACAGCAACTCAAAGTCCAAGAGCGAAGTTGTACTGTTGACTGTGCTGGGGTGTGACAGCAATCAAGTGTTTCCCTCAGACAACCACTATCTGCATTGATGCTGCCTAACAATGGAAGGAAGGGGTTAGATTAGGTCGATGGTAAAAATGCCACATTTCACCTTACCCTGTGCGTTTTTTTGTTGCGAGCAGTAAAGTTTTTTGAAGTATAGGGCTAACACATCGAAGACTTTGTATGACCGGTTTCAAGCAATGGTTCCTTGGGTTTTCGATCTCGCTCCACTGTTGGTACGGTCACTACTAATCAAGTTTCTTTCTCAGGTTCTCCAAAGAAGGAATCAGATAACTGTCCTTGTACCTTTAGTAGCACATGACATCATCTTGTTCATAACCAATCCCTGTCTCCATCACGGAATTTTACATATACTTCCACTATCATCCCTCATTATTTGCCTTCTGCCTTTTCGAAATGTGCTCCCAGTGCTAACTATTTAAGTTCATAAATTGCTACCACAGGTCTTTTGAAACCGCACTGTTAACTACTTGTTGGAGATTTTAATATTCGAGCCCTATGTCAAATCGGACAACAGGCGTCACTAGCTATGACCTTAGTGTCTCGTGCCTTTTATATATCTTGTTTTTCCGAAAGACATAAATGATCTAAGTGTGACCATTCACTCCATCTCAAGAAAACAAATGTAGAAAAGACTTATGTTAATAATGTCCTACTGTAAATAATATTTTCTTGAACTTAGCTTTCTGGGTTCGATCTCATACCAGAAGTTTCGCCTATCGACTTCCAATACCCGTATGATATGGTCCAGGTTGGTGTAGCGGCTGACAAAATACGGTCTTCTGACCCCCTTAAACAACAATATTAGGATATTCGTAATGCGTTTCTCTCCCTCAAAATGCAAAATATTGCTTCAAGACTGGTCCGCATCAACTCATAGACTCATGATGGGAAGTGAGATAGTTGAGTGCGCCTGTCGTCTTTCTTAGTTTGGGAGTCTCATCGTCCCTGGTGGGTTGGTGTCCGACGGAATTTTAGCATTATTCCAGAAAGCTTGGTTGCCTTTAGTTAACTTGCGTCTCTTACGGCGTAGGCGAGATGTCTATCTGTAGCCTAAATGGCAAGTGTACTGAGCAACAGCCCGTTGTGTAATTTGTTATGGCTGTGAAACATATTCTACGAAAATAAAAGACACGTATAGGCTGAAGGTTTCTTCGAACAACTGCTTAGGTTTTGTGGAATGATCGAGTGAGAATGTTGAGATTAGGCATAGAGTAATTGATCAAGTCGATAAATCGGTTGATGGTAGAGTTAATCTTCACAGAATGATATCATTAGGACATGTGCTATATATGCCTAAACACCACCTACCTCGATGTCCTGCGTTATCTTGTGTTGATGTAGGCTCGATGAAAGATAAGAGGCCAAACCATTATGTACTACAGGTCCATGAAGTCACTAACTGTCTTTCTCAGTCATGATATTATATTCAAACTACATGGTTGGTGTTCGCATGACTGTCGTAACCAATCGTCGGAGACTTTTGCTGATATGTCACAATCGTTTGAAATTGACCATTCACTCGTTATCTTCCTCTCGATCTTGAATTCCAGTATCCTTTCGTATATACCTTTCTAGTCTGTCTTTCCGAACCATATTCCTAAGGTTTAGTCTTTTTATCATTATTACTGCGTTCTTTCGATCTTTTTTGTTATTTCTATCTCGTCATGGTTTTATGATATGGCAACTTCGGCCAACGCACGTGTGCCAAACTCTGTGTCGATAATGTCTGCCCGTCTGGAATTTTGCCGCTCATTATGTTTAACCCATTGGTTAATTTTAATATCATGGTAATGATTTGTCTTTCAGGGGATCACTGATAATATTTACCGTTTGCTTGCTGCAAATTCTGTCCGTTAAAAATGACTGTTTTCGTGTTATTTTTCTCATTATATGGTTGGTTATAGTATCTCTGGTAGCATTTTAGCACGTTGGTCGTTGTTACATGAAAACTGTATATTTTTTACAGTTATTTTCTATCCAGTGATTATTTTACTATACATTTTTTTGTAGAGTTTGTATAGTGTAGTCTGGCACTGGGATGGAAAAAGTTTCCTTACTTCGCATAATAATGGTTTACTTGCAACTTGGTTAATTCGCCAACCACAACGTCCAGTTTCTGTGATCTGCCCACATGGTAAGGTGCTTCCTTATTAAGTGAATTATTGTGATAATCCATCGCATAAAATATCATTCTCATGCTTTCTAAAGCATTGAATTGAAGTAACAGCTAAGTCGATTTGTTGCACTAATTTGAATTATTCATTTTGATTTTTTGTAGATTTAACATCGTTACAATTAGTTGTGATTTCTTTATCGTTACATACTTTTTGTAGCTAAAACAATGTTTTTCTGTGGGAAATATCAGTTTGTTTTATTGATACAATTTCTTTCGATTTCCTACCCTGAAGGATTCAGTGAAAATTTGGACTATCTTATGTTACTCTATACTTATTACTATCATTTATCGAACCTTATGTCCTAATGAACTAAGTTAGGTTTAGCGAAACTGTAGGAAAGCTTTTTCAGTTTTTTAGCTAGAGCTAATATCAGTTTTAACACTTTGATCTCTATAAAGTGTATTGTCATGCCGTCTAGTTAGATTTGTAGTAACTCAGCTAAATAAGCCAATATTGGTTTCCGGAGAAGTTATAATGTGTTCATAGCTTTATTTAAGCCAAAAATGATTTTAAGTCAACTCACATATCTGTTATCGTTCTGATACTTTGTGTTGTACGAAAAAATTTACGAGGCCAGGATTTGTAGATTTCATTAACTTTATACATAAAATTTAATTTTTTTTATGTCTACCACTTGCTAGTCTAGAAGAATCACTGTCGTACTAGCTTTCGTTTTCGAAATTTTACATCACTTTTTTTTTACAGTGATTCATAGCTCAACAATATTTATCTAGGGTGTATTGCTGTTAAGGATATTGATGAGATACTGTAATCGATGAGTGAATAATATATGGTTCATTTTCAATGAGAGCTGCATATACGCATCCATGGTGCTTTTAAAAAGACAGTGACGAATTTTTTACACTTATCAGTATATTCTTATTATGATGTCATCTAAAAGTCACATTGGAAGACAGTAATTCTGATATCCAATGGTGTGAAAGGATGTTTTGAAACCTTTAAGTGGTGTATGTGATCACGGTTATTTCTAACATCAGCTACAACGTATGTCCGTGTTTCTACGATTTTTTTATAGCATGACAATGTCGCTATCGACATATCACTGATTGCCTTGTATGTTACATATGGGATTTATTATTGAAGGTAACTGCAAAAGAGTACTGCAGAAGCATGAATATTAGCTTACATAGATTGAATGTATTATTTGGTTGTTATTAGGTCTAAATTTAATTTGTTACCTCGTGAATTACCCCCTCACTTGTCGACTTCCAATCACATTAATCTATGTAAACCTCCGTTACATGGTTTAAAGTTTTTACTCGTTTGTAAAGTACCAAAGTTTGCTAATGCACAATGATATCTGGCGGCAGTTTTATGGAGCAGAAAAGATAACTGAAAACTGATCAGTATTAGTTTCTCAGTAGATTTAAATTTAATTTCAGCTATTCATTCGTATTACTGAAAGTGGGCATTAGCATACAGATATAGTTCGTGATTATCATTTCCATCATTTAATTCATATGAATTTTACAAAAATTCACCTAAGTAAATGTATATATATATATATATATATATATATATATATTCAGAAATCCACAGATAACTAAATGCCCATTACTATTTTCTCTATCTCATGCCAATCTCTATCATTATAAAATCAATTTCAATGAGTTTTCTTCCACGTCTTAATTTTACACTCACCATTGTTAGCATCAAATATTCTGACGGTATTTTATGTCCGCGTAATAATAATAATAATAATAATAATAAGCCTTTGTTATTCGCATTACCATTATTACTTTGATGATGACATTCTTTCTACTTTAGTTGTTGTTCAGCCATCATGTTTTTCACTGCTAATCATCATTTCCCTTAATTGTTTTTTATTGAGTTTCCATTCGTATTTATTGTCATCCACACGATCCTTACTATTATTACTATTGCTATTATCTTTTTTATATCTTTCAGCCCCTGGTGAAGCGGTTCCAGATGACTATATATTTTACGAACCGATACGTTTGGTAGAATGGCTGCCTACTAGAAATGGGTTAGTTCTTCACGTTTATAATTATTACGAAGGTCCTAAATGTAGAAGTGCTGCGTTTCATCGATTAAATGTTTCATTGATTCCTGGTTTGAAGTATTATATATTGGCACATTTTTGTATATCATAACTGTACTTTGATAAACGATATATTACTTAGACAACACTAGTTAGATTACTACACCCATTTAGGCTTGTGTTGTGTTGAACCGTCCTCCAATTTATAATACCTGATTCCAACACTCGAAACTAACCTGCTAATTGAGTGAAAGCTTGACTGCTTAGTCAGAATTTAAATATATACAGAAAACTCATCATTATAGATGAACGTCTAGAATAGTCGAACCAGAATTCAACCAGTGGTATGTTTCTGTACCTCTTGAAAGATTGAACTAAAGCTCAACCAATGCCATGGACTCGTCAACATCCATTGCCTATCATTTGGTCTCGAAAAAATATGTCTGATCACCTTACTCTTCTTGGGACGTAGCCTGCCTGCCAAGGTTCTCCAGTCAACTTTGTCCTGGGCTCTTTCTCGTTGTTGATAAATGCTATTCATCGTTTGATATGTCTAATTTCCAGCGCCTTCTTTTCCTTGGTCTTTCGCTCTTCAATTTGTTTTGACGAGTCCTAGTTAGGGCTTGCATTGTGATACGGTTTGATAAGTTCTTTGTTTCATTAACTGGCAGCTGATTTGTTTGCTACCAAAGTAGGTTATTGCTGATAGTCTCTGCCCATTAGATATGAAGTATCTAGCGTTGACATTTTTCTTAAATACCTGTATTTTTTGGTGATAGCTGTGATAGTTCTCTAAGTTTCAGATCTACTCTATGGAGTTGTTATAACGTTTATGTTGAAAATTCTAAATTTGGTCTTGTGTAACAGTTCTTTCGAGCTCCAGATATTGCTTAATTATTCTTTCACTAATGTATATCTATTTGATAGTATTTTTATTTATTGTTGGATACAAGTGACCAGTTGACTTAGTTGTAAGATGTTCGAGTTCCTATCATAAGTTCAAATTACACATTCTGAAAAAATCAATAAGAACAAGTAATAAACATATTAAGAGCTAAATTAAACAGGTAATGTATGAAATGTAGTGGAATTACAAAACACAAAAAAATCGTTTTGGTGTTGTTAAGTTCACTAAACTGCATTGTTTAATTACAGTATTTTTGCTGTGCTTGTGGAAAACATTAGTAATTTGTGTAGAAGTGAGCTTCTTAGTTATTGCACCAGGAGTAAATCAATTCGTCCTGTTGATCTTGTTTTTTTCTATAAGTTTCGTTGTCCTCATTCGTCCTTGTACTCAAAGTGTCTTAGTCAATCGGACTTTCTCCATGTAGTTGATTGACATTTTCCTTATAAGATGATAGATACGATTTGTGTTAGTTTTCCATTTGATTCCCGATTGGTCTGGGTTACACGCTTCCAGAAATTTTCTAGAGTACTTCTATTTCTGTCAGTCCAGAATATTGACGTTTTCATAGTCAAATTTATATATATATAGTTTTCTATATGGATTAATATCCCTGGTAACGTGTCGTATCGTTCTTACTATAATCTCTCTGCATTTTCACAACAAAAACCAAAAATATATACACAGATTAATTGTCAGCTCATTTATTCATTGACAGTTATAATAGTAATACCAGTGCTTGCTAAGCTTTCGTCAATGTCCTTAATATGATTTCTACTTTTTTGTTTCTATTCGAAAAGAAAACAAATGAACTCTCTCTTCCGTTAGTTGTAGGTACATTTTGACCTAGTCAGATGAAACAATTAAAATAACTGAAAACAATGATTTTTTTAAAAATTTCGTATGTATATACTCAAAGTAATAGAGGAATTATGTGATATTTTTGCTAGCCTAAACGGGATATAAATTGTTTTTAGTTTAATTTATTTACCATCATTTTATCATTCTTCTCTCAAAAAACAAAACCTTCGGTGAGTTAATAAATGGATGTTTTTTTAAAAATGTATATTTTGATTTTATCTTCTGCTATCATATTACAAAACAAATAGTGTTGTTTCAAAGTTTCTTTTCAAGTATCTAACAGTTTATTCTTCCTTCTGTTATTTACTAAGGTTGTTGGTTTATTAGATTATAAAAGTTCAAGAAAATCTACTGTTCATCTTGCTTCTTGAGTTTTTCTACTGTTCTTATTATTTTATATTTATTTCGCTTTATAGACAACTCAAAAAGTAACATAATTAATGTTGATTTCGACTAATGAGGATTGTGTTACGTTGGTAATGTGTATGTATCCCCAGGAGATTGGAGTTTGTTCGATCTAAGGCCATTAGTTTAAACTTTATAGCTATATTATTCGTTATGGTAGTTTGCAATTAGTAGAACTTAAGTTTCCTAGGCAAAAATATAAAAACACTATAAGTTGAACTGAACTTAAATCTTTAGTGTGACTTAGAAATTTAAATACGCAAGTAAATTCACTGCAAAATGTAGATAAGCTTTTATATATGAAGACCGTTTGTTATTAGTGTCAAGCTTTATAGAAACAATTTTCAACAAAGGTGGCCTACTTGAATATCTGGGTTACCTGTTCCTCTCATCTAGATATTTCAACAATTTGTATTTTTGTTTGTTTTAACACATTATTATGTCTATTAGTCTCGTAACCTATTCAGGCGCACTTATGAAAATTTTACGACTCATCGCTTTAGAATTTACAAAAAAGTACAGAGAAATCGTGGTGGCTGGCAAAATGCATTAAAAAAGAACATTAATCGGTAGTCGATTCCTGAACTATTGACTTCTAACTGCCTATCATCAATGGAAAAGGTGGGCTATCGTCAGTTCCTACAAAGTCTAAACGTATATCTTTATTGTGGTGTAATCACAGTTCAAGAATCCTGGTTAAATGCTTTACAAGTCGTTTGTTTAGTATCAATACAAGGGTTCAATATTTATCATCAGTATGTGACTCGTAAAGGTGCTCCATTATTTTGTTTTGATCACTGCATAATTCGTTTTCTACCAAAAGTATGTTGAAAGCTTGGAAAGATTAAACTCTTACATCAGTCAAAGAAAGTCAAATATGGGAATTGCTCAGAAAAAATATCCAAAGTCTGAAAACCATGTTTCGTGCGACAAACTGGGAATTACTTGTAAATAAATAATTGGAAAACACCTTTCATGTTGTCACTTTTTATCTTAAATTCTGTTCTGATATTTGTTGTCCCACTGAAACTGTTATTGTAAGTTATGATCAACTTACATCTCCGCAACTAAAATTATTACATAGGGTAAGAGAAAGAATGCTCGAGGAGAAAAAAACCCCATTGAAGGTCGAAAGCTAAATGGTCTAACAAACCAAGAGATGAGACGTCTGAACTCAATGTTTTCTCTGAAACTCCTATCTCGTAAAAACTTTTCAAGTATGTGGAAACTGTTTTAAGAACTTATAGGTGAGAGGTTCATTAGAAGCCATAATCAGCTGAATGTTTGAGACTTAAATAAGTTTTTTGTACGTCAGTCATCGGATGTCATGCTTCCGACATCTGCAGGTTCGAAGAATAGTTGTGTTCCGATTTTCACTGAAGCGGATGTTCGCAAATGTCTCCAATCACTTAGGACTTGATAAAGTCTCAAAATTCCTTTTCAGAAAGTGTGCTGATGTTCTGTTTTATTCATTCACCGGCATCTTTAACTGACCCTTCTGAACTAATCTCATACCGAAGTTGTGGAGAAAGATAAATATAATCTATAGCAATCACTTCATCTCTTAAAACAGTAGAAAATATTGTTGATTCTCCCACTTCAACCTGCATTGAAGGAGCACACTGATCAGTTCGCTTACAAGGATAATGTTGTTCTACATCATAACATAGTGTTCAGTTTGGAAAAGTGTAAGAAGTATGTTTGATGCGCTTTTCTGAACTATACTTCTGCTTTTGATTCTGTCCCAAAACAACTTTTATTTAACAAGTTAATCAGCGTCAACATTGAAAGCTGGATAACCAATTGGCTGTGCTCCTACCTCTCTGGAAGAGAACAGTACACTGTTTGAGGAGAGTGTTCAACTTCTCTACTGTCTCATAGTGTGCTACATGGGACTGTTCTTTCACCTCTTTTTTTCTGCATGATCTGCCATCTTCCACAGAAAACACTTGTAAAATATGCGGTCGATTTCACTGTATTTATGCCGATTTCTACCTCTTTACATCCCATAGAAGTGAATGAGTTTGTGTATCGTAATAAATGGTGACCTGTTGTTGATGGTCTCTTACTTAATCTGTTTAAATGTCAAACTGTTAACTTTTACCTGTGACATGAACAGCAACTAAACACCCTGTTGGGATCCCATAATGTTTGTACTATTGGAGATTCTTTGATACACAGTCTCGAAGGTCAGTTATCTTGATGTTACCTTTTCCTTTGATCTCTCTTGCTCTTCTCATGTTTTATTGTTATTGAAGAAAGTTTTCTATCTGACTTACTACATAAAGAGGCTGCATGTTTTCGGGATTATTGAACATTTACTCTTACAAATAGTTGATTCTTGAATATTACCTATTATTTTTTACTGTTCTTTATTATTATTCCCCGTGGTTTTGAGAAAAAGATTTTGCTGTATTGCGAAGAGCTATGAAGGCAGTTAGCAGAGTGTGTGGTGTATTTTTTGAGGTCATTATTATTATGTTTGTGGATGGACATCTAAAATCTTTCAAACTCCTGGGAGGTGTTTTTTATCAGATACTAACTATCCAATTCATTAACATCTTTCTCCTAGTATATCTTCTGGTAGAACGAGACGTCAATACGCTAGAATCTATGCACGCATGTAAAAATATGAAAGCTGTGCGATACTTTATCTAGCAAATATACTATATGACGAACAGATTGTTAGAACTGACCTACTCAATATCTTGTATTCCTAAACATGATTCTAATTCAAAATCATTTTAATAAACATTTCATTTAATTCCAGAAGGTTGCTTAAAATATGTATACATGTATGCACTTATTGGCTTTTTGTTTTGTAAAATAAGCTTGTTGAAATACTTTTTGCTGAGACTTCTGTATTGTACCAAAAATATAATAAATGGAATAAATCCATTAATGATAAACAAATAAAACCTTAGTCTGTCACAGTTTATCTGTCTTACTAGTGAATCGTCGATTATCATTGCTATTATATTATTTTGATTCCTTTGCTATTTATTTTTTTAACTTCTCGTCGTTTTAATTTGATTTGGCAACTTAAACCAGTGGATATTTGTTTCAGGGTCTATGGATAGATGTGCAAAAGCTTTAGTATCATAATGCTTTTTATTCATGACTGCTCGTGTTTTGCTTGTGTCAGCTCATGTGATTACAACAGTCCTATATTTTTTTAAATGAGTGTGAAGCTATCAGTTTTTATGAAATTTTTGGTGTAAGATGTTTTTGTTTGGTCAAAATGTGGGATGCTTTTTGATGTGGTAAATGAAACTTTTACTGGCAGTTGTTCGATTAGTGGTGGAACAATTTCTAGAGTCCTAAGTGGTTTTCTATGAAAATTGACTTTTAATCCTTTCTCTCGTAGAGTGATTTCATGGTCGCTTGCTTATCTGTATGAGAGATTATGAACGATTCTTCAACCATTAGAACTAGACTTAATTGTTAAGATTTTCTTTTTCTTGAATCTATTCATTGTTTGTTTGTCAGCATTTCGACATATTTGAATAATAACATTCTCTCTCTATAAAAAGGTTAACAATGGTGGTTATACAAGCAAACAAAAGGAGTGGCAATGAGATCCCTCATGTCTTCGATTGTACCCAATCAAATATTTTCGCCAATGACATTAAACGACGAATTTGTCCCAGATATCTGGATGATAATTTTATCGTTGTGAAAACACCTTTCCTACGAATGTTTTTCTAAACTAATCAATACACTATCATCAGACATTAAATCTACCTACCTGCATGATATTAAACACGGTCGCATATCATTTTTAGTTAAAAGAAATCTAAGTGGAGCTCTTAATCTAATTATCTTCCGAAAACTAACGCACTTGAATCCTTCTATTGACTTCAATTCAGCACATTCATTATGTGCGTACATATCTCTGGGCAATTTAATAATTTTCCTATAAAGATTATTAAAATTGCAGTAAAACAAATCGAGTTGCTGCTAAGTAATAGTTCGAATGAAATGCAATGGATGATTGCTGTAGTTTTACCATGCCGCCATAGTACCACAGAACTCCAAGGATTCTTATAACAATACAGAATTAAATCATATTACAAAACAACTAACTCCCTTCGAAATATTATCGTTCGTACAGAGGATAAGATCTCTTTTATGTCGATACAGAATTATGTTTACTTATTAGAATGTGTCGATTGTAATGCCTTTCATATTGGAGAGTCATCTCGTGAAATCTTGATTCGAGCCAAAACACAGCTTGTTTTCCGCACAAAAATTAGTTTCCATGTTTTGAATTCATAATAGCACGTCAGTATTGCTTTTCATTCATTTTTCTGTTTTTTTCATATTTCCTGTCTATTACATGTATAATCGGAATTCGCCAAAATTATTTAATTTTTAGGCATTAAACAAAATATTACAAAAACTCAGTTTTGTAAACTTCATGTTCACTGTTTCATTTTGCTTGTATCATATCTGCTAGAGATTTCTGTATTCGGAATACGTGTCTTTGCAATTGTACATTAAAGATTTTTTATCTCAGTTAAATTATTCAAAATTTAGTTCATGTACGAATCCGGCTTTCATTTACAGCTGATTGATCACTGGGTGGTGATCATGGTCATGTGTGTCAGCTCCTATCGACCAAGAATCCGGCTTCGTTTATTCAATAATTTTGTGATTACTTTAGGCCATCTTTAATTCTTTATTTGCAAAGCTGTTTGAAAGCATGTTAATCTCTTTTCTAGAAACTTGTTTTGGGCTAATTATTTCTATATATATACTTTGAAAAATCAAGTGTTTCATCAATGTTTTATTGTTTACTTGTATGGAGCTATTCGTTGTTGGAAAAATCGCACACTATTTCTCGAGTTATTAATTTGAAATTCTTGCCTTACTGATCGCTATTATACGTTTGCGTAGATTTTGACTACATATAGTGGTTTAATAATTTCAGCTCAACATCCTCAGGTTTCCAAATCTCCCCATTCATCACTGACATGTCCACCAGATCATTTTACACTAAATCTCCTTTAGAGTTTTTAAAAAACAGCTAATTATAAACGTTCATAGAATAATCATTTATCTTCATCGTTACACTGATTGTAAGCTTATATGTCTTTACGATAAATTAACATCTATTATGATTATTACTAAAACATTTCTATGCTAGTCAAATGCACTCTCTCACAGTTCCTATCGTTTGTTCCCTTTTATATTATACTGTAAAATAAATGGAATATCTGTTTGCTAGAATATATTTTGAAAGGATATGTATCAGTTGCATGTACTATACTTTTGTTTATTTGTAATATCTACGGAAAAAGTGTATTTGTCAGTCCTGTTTTTTTCACTTTAGGTAAATTGAATATTATTATCACTCCCAATCAAGTTTGTCTAATTTTCACATTATGGCTAAGTGGTATTTTATAATTCCATAAATGTCAACTGAATTGTTATCATTCTGTACTGTTTTTCTATGTTATTTAAATTATCAGGGTTGTTGTTGTTTAATAATATTACTTTTTCTGATGAGATTCTGTGGAAACTAATCCACTCTTATGATCGTCTACTACTTTTTGTACATATATTTATTAAATTGTGTATGCATGCATTCAGTATCATATACTGTATATGATATTCCATTCTGTGTGTGAGTTTCCTGCTAATTTCTCTCAGTTTAAGGTAGCTAGATATATGTTTGTGTGAATATGTTAATGCTAACAGTGAAACCCCATTCTTTTTGTTACAATATATACCAAATCACTTATTTCTGCGGTTTCTTCTTTCTACTTTGTCCACAAAAAACCCCATTTTTTTAGAAGAATAGTAAAATGAAGGAGTCCCCTTGGGAAAATTCTCTTTTTCTCCCTCATATATATATATATATATATATATATATATATTATTTGCGATAATTTCTTTTGATATTTTCCACTTATACTTAATGAGATAAAATAAAGAATTTAGTAAATAAATTTTAAAAAGAAATTAAATTCCTAGCATGTGTCACATAACAAACTACCCTGTGTTTAACACAAGATTTTATTGCTTAGACATGAATGCGTTTCATGTGATTTCCGTTTCATTTTGTTGCCACTTGTTTTTGAATTTATTCAATTTGATACACCTATCTACAATACAAAATGTTGAGGCAAAGAAACGTTGATCAATTTACATTTCACAAAACTGACTTCAAAAGAATACACTGAAGTTATACACGTTTTTGATTCATTGGAAATAAATAGGAAAAAGATTTATTGATAAGAAGAAAGGTCTTTCCAATAAGAGAAAAAGGAAATCATTCATAGATATCGTAATTTAGATTGTCTTCGATTGATACCCACTCTATTTAGGGTCATCTTTTGATACCAGCTTACTAGATATCAAAAATTTGTAAAAGTACGTGAGCAATACAGTGTTTAGATCATAATGTGTTTATTATCTTCATCATGGAACTTCAAGTGTGTTGAATTTGTCACTAATTTTGACATCTCTTTTACTTTAGCGAACCATTCATTATCTTTTCTGGTGGTGGCCGTTCTCCTGGAGCTCAAACTGTCATTCATTCATCAGTAGCTACTACTAATGTCTCCTCGACGTCGTTACCTAATTCAGATTCATCTGAAAATGACCCAAATTTATCATCATCATCATCATGTATGATTTCTAGTAATCATATGTTGACTATCAAAAGAGGCAAAAAGTTGGTTGTTTTACAATTGGATCATAAACTTGTTCAATTTACAACTCTTTGTATGTCTCCTTACACAAGTGGTACGTAATAGATTTCTCACTTTTCTTTTCTTTCTATTGGTATTGATTGATTGAGTTCACTGTCTCTTTTTATTGGGTCTAAGTTAAATTATTAAATAGGTATTCTTTATGTGAGAACTTTTATTTACATGTCTCTTCGGAATGACTGCCTGTGTACAGTTACTTGTTAGTGAGCTGAATAATTTTGATTTTGATACTAGCCAGTATTTGGGATGGTTTTAAGTTAGGGTCGACCAATCCAAAATATGGCACCAGTGCTTGAAGTCACTAACTTCTGGTCTGAGCCATGTTGGTAGATGCAGACTACTTGGTTGGGGTCCGCGTGACTATTGTTACCAATGGTTGGAGACTGTGGGTGACATGGCTCAGAATCTATCACAATGGCGTAGGTGTATATACTCTTTGTCTTCCCTTAAACTATTAGATTCAAGTCGCTTCATATCTTTCATTCTACGAACTAATTCTTTCTTCCTGTACTATGTTCTTATATGCAATCTTTCTATTATATATAACCACCACTGAATCAACTACTTCTATGAATTTGGTGTTCATCTTGTTGTGCTAATGAGGTATGGCGACTTGGACCGATGCATATATGTGTCTGGTCTTACGTTGTTGCTGACTGACTGATACCTGATATTCCAAGTTGTAATCGAGTTACAGATCTATTGGCTTTGTGTACAATTGTTTCATAAACTGCCACATAGTTTACTAATATAATATCGTCACTCAAGCAAACCAGTATATGGTGACATTTCCATTTGTTATGGTAAACAGAATTATTTTATTAAAACTGCTTAATGATACTGTTTTATTTGTGCTTAGTGAAAACAAAGATGAGCTACAAAATTACGTTTGTTTATAATCTAACCTTACTGCTTGATCCTTATTTATTCCATATCTAAAGATACGTTTTCTTAAGTAACGTCGGAATGAAAAGATATCACACCTTATATGCGGCGGGCTATTTTTGAAACAAAGTATCTATTCTTGAGATGCATTTTCTGTTTTGCTTTTTGTACATATATTTTTCTGAAGGCTTTTATGAATAAAAATGTTCCAACCATCATTCTATCAGAATGTTAAGAACACTAACTAGAAGTGTCACGTTATTTGTTCACATATGTGATTTGCATTCGTTCTGCTTATTCTATTCTTACTTAGACAAGAAATAAAGTGATTTAACAATGCATAATGTTTGTCCCCCACTGGTTTGAAGTCATGTTTGGTTCCTCTAGAAAGTACAGCCGTATTGATGAAATCCTTGTAAACGCGCACTTACGAGATACAAGGAAACGACTTATACACGACCACAAGTTATTCACAATTTAATTACTGCTATAATTAATGATATGTAGCAACTTAAATACAGTAGAAAAAATAGGAAAAAATTTGACAATCAACTTAGGGAACTTATACTGTGCTAGGAAAAACTTAATTATAAATTCAGCTTAAATTATTTCGTGCAGACATGAACACAGTAAATTATATTTCGTCCGAATATTATTGTCTCTAATCAGTAAAATTGTACAAAATATTCAGTTTTTCCTTGTCTTTTTATTAAGCGAGGTTTAAGATCAAATTGTATTTTTAATTAATTGCTTTCTGTCTGGTTGTTTACGCATGGTTAAATGTCCAAAGTACGTGCTTAGTAAAGATCACCGGTTAATATAAGCCGTGTGTTTCATCTTATTTTTCACTCATTAGATGGATAATACTTACATCTAGTTAGCTGTTGATACATATCTGGAGATTCGGACTTAACACTACTAACGAAACATTAAACGCTATTATAGTAATCACTATCTATTGTGAAGCTGCATTCAAAATCTTTTCTAATACGTTTACATTCTGATCGGTAATATTAATACTTATTCTTTTTTCAGAGACAATGGATCCTTATGCAGTTGCCATATTATTACAAGAAGATCTTGTTGTTATTGATCTTTTATCTACAAAGTAAGGATACTGATTGTTTTTTCCTAAGTATCTTTTAGATTTCTTTTAAAATTCCTGTGAATATACTTGAACCATTTACCATTTTTGTTTTTAATTTTGAAGCTTCGCAACATTTGAAAACCCATATCCAATGGATTTGCATAGTTCTCCTGTCACCAGCTGTTTATATTTAGTTGATTGTCCTGGAGACTTGATACCTGCTTTCTATTCTGTTAGCAGTCGTCGGAATCGTACTCAAAGTGGCACGTGTGCTGAACCTGATGTGTTCAGCAGTCGCGAATGGCCTATTACTGGAGGAGAATGGCGATTAAGTAATCAACAAGTTCCTGAATTAATCATAACGGGGTATTTTATCAATAATATTATACTTTATTGCGTTCAGTTATTTTTCTGTTGACTTTTATATTAATTGTTCCACTATTCGGTGTACACACATATTAGCGAAGGGAAATTAGTGTAGTTACCTTGTTTGAGCTTCTACATCCATTACTATTCTGTGATGACAATTACGTTTAAATTTGAGTAACTTTTGCAGATTCAATCTTCTTTCCTCAGTTAGGATGGTATAATTACCCTAAAATATTTCCTACTAAGCACTGTCCCATTGAGAATTTGCATCTTGAATAAGTCAGCACTCAGTTTCTTGTAATTTTCAGATATTCCTGTTTAGGAGTGGTTCGATTGTGATTTATAATATTTATAAAAGTAATTGATTATTCGGTACCATCACTCAAGTCAAATACTAAGAGAGTTCACCAATATCAAATCTCTAATCTTATGAAAAGTAGAAGTATGTGAGAAAGTTTAGTTCGTTTCATGATAATTAAAATAAGTATATCATTAAGCCATCTATCCATTATGGATATCGTCCTCTTTCAATAATGTCGTGAAGCTTTTCATTTATCCTGCATGTGACAAAAATTATTCAGTTTTATTCGATGGAAAGTGTATTTATTTTTTAGATCTAACATGTATCTTTGCTTACAAAACTGAGGAAAGAAGGTGATGTAGACAATCGTTAATAGTTGACAGTAAAGGAAACCATTTAAGTTTCCTTTTGGTGTATGCCTTTACATTAATTACCGCTTATTGACAGCTCTGCTTTGAACAATCAGTTCTAACCACTCATTCATTTTTGATGGACTGAAATGAGTGGGTAATGCTGTCTATTTTCATATTAAAAATTATATCATCAGTTGGTTTTAGTGAAGTAGTGTGTATACATTATTAGAATCTGGTATAAGTGAGCAACCTACCAACTTATTAGATAACATCAAAGTTGTGTGAATAGATTCGTGAACAAAAGCACATGGGTTATATCACTTTTATTTCTCACTGTAGAAAAAACATATTAATATTGTCAGTAGACAAATCATTTGTTCATATATATCTTTAGTGGCTAAATGTTATCGCGTAATACTAATTGTCTCAACACTTACATCTATTTTATTATTTCGAATTGGGAGCAATGTTTTCTACGTAGAACAAACTGAAATGGATAATATTTACTCAACCATTTAAGACTAGAGGTTACTGTCCATGTAATACGGATTCTGTGTATTCATCTTTGAAAAATTCCTATTATTGGCTACAGGTGTGAATTATATTGATTGACTTCCAGTATGTTACAGCTGTATCTATGCATTGGATGATTACATTCGAATTCATATAAAAAGTTTTTCCATCAGTATCATACCACGATTTTAGATAGGTTCAGACATTGTACTTAAGTGTTTTAGTTTATTCATTACAACTGGCATTGGATTCATTATTATTTTCTGTATAAGCTGCCTCTAACAAATTATCACATTTTCGCTATGCGCATTTTATAGACATGCTGATGGATCTGTTCGATTTTGGGATGCATCCGAAGGTTTGTTTATATTTTGTTTAGTTTACGTTGTTCCTCAATGTAACACTATTTCTTTGTGATCATTTCTACACTGATTGCTTCTGTTTACTCGCTCTACCTATGACTACCGTTTATCACTTTTCCACTCAAGCATTTTTTTTGTCAATAAAATAGTAGTGAAAGTTTAAAATGCGCTTTCGGATTTCATTTTGTAAAACAAAATTGATGTACTGGCAGTAAGAATCATCAGTAGTTCCGAACCGACTAAAATTATTTACGTACTCGAACGCGCATTTTAATTCATGAAAAAAAATCCTTCTGTGGTCAATCATATTAATAGACATCGTTTCAAATGTAGAGTAACTGCTTTTTTAAAACCACACATTCTGTCTCACGATTGATTATGCAAACTTGTACTTGGTTGTCGAAGTAGATTTTCTGGTGTTGTATTACAGATCTAGATTAGGACTCAATGTTCATCCATATTCGTCAACTTCTGCATGTTTTCAACTAAATGAGAGTGGTTTAAATATCTAGTGTTTATTTTCTTGTTTAGGATAAAAGATGAAGTCCACAGTCATCCAAAACACCTTAGTATATGAACTTCATTGTCTCAATGTAAATAACACGTCCTAACCAACCTATTTAGTTCCCATTCAATGATAAATTTCTTTACGTAGAATAGAGTTGTGTACACAATCATGAATGGTTGATTAAAAAAAAAACACATTGCCTGTTTACTTTCTATTGCGGTTTTGTTGGAATTTATATAGAGGTATGGCTCTTCAAGGTTTTGACTGTTATGATTTTATCTCAACACACACTCATGGAATTTTGTTGAAATAACAGTGTTTTATTTAACTCAGCTTTTATTGGTTTGATACTCACTTGACAATATGAACTAGAGTGGCCTTAATTCTCCAACGTACCTAATTAACTTTAGAGTAAATAGTGAACGTGTTTCGCTTTTTCATCATATGTTATCCACGAATTCAAACTCACAAACTTTTAAAACAAATTTTCTATTTTGATCTTTTCTAGTTTCGTTGACGCCACTCTATAAGTTTCGTACTTCGAAGTTGTTTGCAAACCCATCAACTAGTACATCTAATCCTGTTGAAACAGGCAGTACCTCACTTTCTGATGCAAAAGATATCAATGCTCAATACTCTTCGATTTTGTTAGCAACTGAAAGCGATCCTCTTGCCATACATTTTATGCATTTCTGCTCGGATTCCCGTAAACTGTTAACTGCAAGCAGTTACCATACTTGTTTATTACACTTCAGTCGTCGAGAAATAAATCTTGAAACTGCAGTAAGTTATTTTAACCATAGTGTTTTATTTCTAGCCAAGAATCGTTTTCTAGTCATAGAAATATATCATTGTAACAAAAAATCTGATCATTCGGTTGTTGATATTATTAAGCCTGGTACAAATTCGTATCACTGCAGATTGCCACACATCATACTGACACTGCAATATGGTTGTAATGGCAGAATTCCAATATGTTTGTTTATATTAAGTACATTTGTACTGACGTATCCAACTGTTGTGAATATAAATGTTGTTTAAAGAAAAATGAGCTATTTATTCTCGTGAAAAATGTTAACCTGAATTGTTTACATCATTTATCTGTGTATCTAAATATATTTTGAAGCATTATTTAAGCATTTCGATTTTTAGTTTGTTTATGCGATAAATGAAGTTGTCTTTTCTTGTTAGTCATCTTACAATATGGTATAGTATTAGTACGGATTGCAGATTTCCATTTTCCTTTTATTTAATTTTTTCTATAATATTATTTAATGGATGGTTTTTAGATGAGTGCAACTTTTGAAATTTTTATCCGAAAACATGAGTATTGACTGTTTCATTCTGGATATGGTTTAATTCTGGTTACCACTTCCTGCTAGGGCTCTAGGATTTCTTCGGGTTCTCAACTAGTGAGCTCATGATTATAACAATTATGAGGAATTTTTATGGAGATATGTTTAATTTATTTACCGGGGGATACGATTGTAAGCCGGAGAGCAACCATTAACTGTTTTGGTATATCACTAATTGATTTAAAGCGGAAATGTGTGTCAGCCGGTGATCTAATCGTTGAGCTCACTCTACGTAACGTCAGTTTCTTGGGTTCTATCCTCGGCAGGGTCATCTTGCAAACTTACTCAATGTCCTATACCAGGACGAAACGATTGGTGACTGCAGTCAGCTTATGATGTGAATTTGGATTTTTTGTGAGGCCACATTGTGGCCTTTTACGAGCGAAATATTATTTTGCTGATATGATCGTATTCGTCGGTGAACGTATGACATGTTACATTATAAATTAATTATGCCTGGTACTCCTCGTGTTGGAGCATAGGCCACCCATCAGCACTCTCCATCCAACCCTGTCGTGAACGATCCTTTCCAGTTGTTATTCATATCTGCTTCTATTTTCAAACTTAATGGGTTCTTTGGCCTTCCTCTTTACCGCTTCACTTCAGGATTCCAAGTTAGGGCTTGCCTCGTGATGCCGTTTGGTGATTTCCATAATGTATGTCCTATCTACTTCAAACCACTTTTCCTCATTTCCTTTTCAGTTAACAGTCGGTTTTTCATCTCCCACAGAAGGCTGTTGCTGATGGTATCCGGCCACCGGATGTTGAGTTTCCTGTGTAGACAACTATTTATAAATACATGTACCTTCTTGATGATGGTTATAGTAATTTCCCACGTTTCAGCTCCACACACTAGACTGTCTTGACTTTCGTATTGAAAATTCTGACTTTGATATTCGTTGACTGTTGTTTTGAATTTCATATGTTCTTAAATTTTTAGGAATACTATCCTTGCTTTGCCGATCCTTGCCCATATATCTGCATCAGATTCTCAACATTCATCGTTGATGCTTTCCGGATTTTCGCCATCAAGTGTGATTGGTTTTGTTGAAGTTCTCCGTTCCGTATTTGAGGATCTTGCTTTTTCCTTTGTGTATGTTAATGCCTACTGACGCAGACACTGCTGCTACACTAGTTGCCTTCATCTGCATTTGTTCGTGTGTATGGGATAGGAGTGCTAGGTAACCTGCGAAGTTCAAATCGTCTAGTTGGTTCTGAGCTGTCCATTATATCTCGTGCTTCCTCTCATATGTCGTGGTCTTTATGATCCAGTCGATCACCAGGAGAAAGAGAAAGGGTGAGAGTAAGCAACCTTGGCTGAAACCGGTCTTTACTCTGGATGAGTCTGTGAGCTGTCCTCCAAGCATAAATGGATCCCAAAAGTTACCACTCATTATTCTTGTCGGGACTTTACATCTACTGAGTTTCCCATCTGGTTCAGCAACACTGTTGAAAACATTTCCTGGTACTGACAGTAGTGTGATACCTTTGTAGTTTTCAAATTTGCTCAGATCTCCTTTCTTTGATATCTTGATGAGGTGTCCTTCCTGAATCGAACGTGGTGCATGTTTGCAATTACTTCTGTGTCTCAATTCAGTGCTTCAGCTGATATATTGTCAGATCCAGCTGCTTTTCCACTGTTGATTTGTCTGATGTCCATCCTGATTCCTTCGGTCGTCGGTGGTGTGACATCTATAGGAAGGTTTGTGTGTGCTGCTTCGGTTCATGGAACTGATCTGTTCAAGAGCTGCTCAAAGTGTTCTACACGTCATTCCTCTGCTCTTGAATCTCAGTGATTTTCTTTCCTTCTTTGTTCTTGAGCGGTCCCTCTTATTTACTATGTCTCCCTATCAGTTGTTTCCTAATCCCTTTTGTTGCAGCTTTTTTGGCTTTCGTTGTTAGGCCTGTCTTCTTTAATGCTCTTCTTCACTTGCTTCCATGTATTCAGCTTGTGCCTTGACTTTGGCTGTTCTTGTTCGGATGTTGTTATTTGCTGTCTTGTTCTTCCTTTCTTGAATCTTGTCTGGGGTTTCGATAGAGATCCATTCCTTATTGATACAAATATGATCTATCTGGTTCTGTGTAGTGTGATTCGGTGGGATCCATGTAGCTTTGTGTATGCGTCTGTGTGGGAATATTGTGCTGCCTATAACCAATTTGTTGAATGCACGTAGATTTGCAAATCTCTCGCCATTTTCATTTCTCTCTTCCAGTCGTATGACATATTGATAACAGTATAATTGATTATTTAGTTGATAGATAACATATTGCGGTCAGCTTCTCCAGATCGATTATTCACAAGAAATGAAGCGTCACAGTATTTGATAACACGTTTCGAACTACTCAACTGTATTAACACTACATAATCATTTGTGTATCAATGAGTTATGATGCATTTTGCCATGCCTACTTTGTATTTTGGTGGTATCAAATAATTTGTTTTTGAATTCGCATTATACATCCTTCAGCGATTAAATTTTTTCTCATCGTCTGCTCTGTTTTTTCTTCCTTTTAAAAGGATGCAACAAGTTAAGTGCTACCTTGCTTCTGGTATATATATATATATATATATATATATATATATATATATATATATATATATATAACCGTTACATACAGTTATCGTGTATAATTCTTAGTGGTAACTCCTTTTCGTGGTCCCTATAAAACCACTTGGTGAATTTCTTTTTGTTATTTCCTGTTATAACACATGAAATGAATTTTCCTAGTCCTATTTATTGCTTACTTTCGTCCATCGTCCTCTCTGCCTTCGTTCATAACTGAATGATTATGCTAATTGTCAACTATAAATTTTCATCAGAAGAGTTTTGTGGAGACTTTAGTAATGTAATATTTGAATTCATGAATTAATAAAAGGTATACCACTATGGACAACATGGAAGCACTGGACGGCCTTTTCATCCTAGCATGGGACTCCTCGGCAGTTCGCATCCACGATCCCGCCTGCTGGATTCAAACACAGGACCTATCGGTATCGTGCACGAACGCTTAACCTCTAGAACACTGAGTCGACATCTAACGGTGTTAATGTTTAACTTCAACCAATCCACGAAATTGCTCCACCGTCCACCATTGTCTTCAGTGAGTTACTATCGCACAACTTACCCGGTTGAACACCACCGATCACGGCTTCTCACTAGATCTCCGGGAAATACCTATTGAACCCAGTCGAATCCTACGAGCAGGATTGTGGATACACACTGCCGATGATTCCCATACTAGGACAAATCGGCTGTCCAGTGCTTCCAAGTTTTCCGTGATGGTCTAGCTTTAACTGATTCTTGAATTCAACTATTAAATCATAAATTTTCCTTTGTATATTATACATCATTCCGTTTCATTGCTATTTATTTAAATGCATATAAAACTAAACAACTTCATGGATACAGTTTTGTGCTGTGTATGTGTGTATTTGAGTGTAATTATATGTTTGTGTCTGTCCGTTTTTGTCATTGCTCAGTCTTTTTTTTGCTGTTTGTTTTTCATGGTTTGTCTGAGGAAAAAAGAAAATACTGTTCTTTTCTGATAATTTTTTTAAAATTGATTTTCAATTCACTTTGTTTGTTATTAATTCCCTAATGTCATTAATCTCTTTTAGTTCTTTATGCGTTTCAATATATTCACTATTTATATTGTTGCATTTTAATGGGCTGATAACTTCCTAAAACAATTTTTCCCACTGTAGGTATTCATTAATTTTTCTTGAATTACAATTGCCTGTATCTTGTTAGTTGAAGTCGTATAGATCGTCTGATTTACTTGAAGAAATCAATGAGATGCACTTTTATAGTTGTCACTTTTTCCTAATATCAATGATTCCATAATCTGTAACTGTTGTTGTAAAATTCTTTTTTCTAAGTATTCATTTGTAGTGTTTAATGCAAAATTATAGTTTTTTCATAAAATATAAAAACCATACATTAAACGCTTCATTTATAAATCTTCCATCAATTGTCCTTTACGTCCTCCCTGAATCTTTCAAATCATATTTCCTTTCTGTTTTCTTCAATGCAATCTTCCCAACCTTCTTTTGACAGCCATTTCACTTCTGATTGTTGTGACACGCTTACTTATGTCTATCGACATAAGTAACATGCACCACAATTTACTAGGTTATGTTCTCTTTAAAATTTAGGCATTATTATTATTTTTTTCTGCTTAGCGATTTGTGATTTGAATTTTTTTTGTGAAATTTCGTTCTCGGAGCTAAGTGGTGTAATTGCGGGATCCCAATTGTTTCCCTCTCTGAAATTTCTGTATAAAATCTGTCAAGAGGAATTTAAAGATCATTCAATTATCGAGTGAATTATTCGATCATTTTATTAAATCTCTCATATAGATTTAGGATCAGATTAAGAACATTCAAACCATCAGGATCTAACACGAATAAGCCATTCAGTTGTGTTA